GACTTTGACCCTGAATCTTCTGTGAAGGAAGATGTGTGTGTGTTGTGCTCTGCATATATAAGGATAACACTGAATTTTTGATGCTCTACATATTTGTACTGTAATTGATTAGAGGATTTTTTTAACATTAAGTTTAGAATACATTTAAAAGGCTTTTATTACAACTTACATCCCAGTTTGTGCAGCTGTGCATAGAGGTAGGTTTAAGGCTAGTTGGAAGCTAAAAAATGTGTTGCAAATGCATTTGCACAGATGCCATGCTCTCATTCTATTTGTTCTCTTTTAACTTATCAGCATCTAAATTCATCTGGAATTAGCCAGGAGGGGCAGGGAGAGAATCCAGACAAGTAATGGTATCTGTCAATTATAGCACTCTTTTAACAGTGATCCCCCTGCAAACTTTGTGGTCATTTCACTTTTATTAAATGTAGCTACTTAGTTTTCCAAACCAAATATGGTGAATTCAAGGATTTGGCAAACTGGAACTACCAAGGTCACTTTTGGGAAGATGTTATTCAGTTCTCATTAAAGACAGAACTGAGGGGGGAAGTGGAAAGTCAGACAGTGAAGCCATAGATGTTTTCTGCATATTCTCAGAACCTTGTATTGCTTATTCTAGGGAAGGAATAAAATATTATTTCTATTAATCACTATCTGTCACAGATTTTTTCTCATTAAGAAAAGTCATATGAATTTGTGTAACCTTAAGTAAATGTAGAAAGATTATTACTTTATATATACTACCTGTTAAAATAAATACACTTCTTTAAAAAACAAAGTAGTGATGTTTATTATTACTGTAGACTGTGAATAGAAGGAAAATGGGACAGACAATACCAGATGTGGGTAGAACCCTGATATTTATGCCTACACTGAAGCATTTCACTGCATGCAGTGAAGGAGCACAGTGGCACTCTGAAGGGGATAAATGTCAATGAAGAACTTTAACTCTCGAGAAAGAAAGGGGACCATGTTGAGAGGTCAAGTATGTTTGATGCTACCCTCAAATGCATTCACTAATGAACAATGAGGCAGTGATGAGGACAAGGCAAATATCTACTCAGACTCTTTCTGCATCATTAGTCAAGCCAGTGGGTATGATGGTTGAACCAAAAAAACCCAAGGAAAACAACTAATTTTGGCTCAACCCACATTTTTTTCATTTTCTGACCAGCAAAAAAATAAACTGTATCGCCCCACACGATAATGTCATCAATGTATTGCAGGTGTTCTGGACCTTGCCTGTTTTCCCGTACAGTCTGGGCATTTGATGATGGTGCATTCCACGTAAGGTTTCGCCACATGGGTCATGTACATTCACCTTCATCTGGATCTATGGGTGTGTCCCCGTTATTCAGCTTGATGTGATAGATCATCTCTACGATGGCTGATTCCCTCAGAGACTGGATGCCTCTGTCTAAAGTAGTCCACTTGGCCGAACCACTCATAACATCATCCTTGTATGGAAACCTTTCTTTCACAGCTGCCAAGAGCCACCTCCAAAGGCTGAGGGGCATTTTCTCTTTTGCAATTGCTTTGTCAATTCCTCCTTCTCTAGCAAGTGATTCCAGCTGCTTGGCTTCTGTACCTTCTAGTTCGTGACCATCGGCCTCATTGTCCCAACATCGGAGCAACCAGGTGATGATGTGCTCCCCTGGTTGACCTGTAAAATCTTTTTGCATATTTTGTAGCTCGGTTGAGGTCCGAGGTCGAGAAGTCACCTCTTCTTCTTCTTCTTCGTCATGTGATGATGACTCGTGATCAGATGCTAGACTGGGTGGTGAATACATTGTTTCTTCACCTTGCTTCGCCCTTCTTGCCTCTTTTTTGCTTTTTCTCTTGAGTACAGGGGCAACCGGTCTTGGTACGAATTGGTCCCCTGGTTTGGCTGCAGTAGTTATCATTGTGGTTTGAGTAGCGACTGTACTTGTTGCTGGGGGTGGTGTAGCTGCTGTGCTTGGAGCTGGGGTAGCCACGCTGTCTGTTGCAGTCGAAGTTTGAGTAGCTGCTGTGCTTGCTACTGGGGTAGCTGCGCTGTTCATTGCAGCCGAAGTTTGAGTAGTGACTGTACTGGTCGTTGGGGGTGGTGAAGCTGCTGTGCCTGGAGATGGAGTAGCGGCGCTGACTGTTGCTTTGCCATCAGATCCGCCAACATTCTTTTCTTTTTGAAGGTGCTGGATAGTGTTGAACAAGGCCCTGTAAGCATAGGCCAAGCCCCAGCACGTTGCCATGATTTGTCCATCTCTGGTATGGCCAGAATGACCACACACCTCATTTAAGTGTTTTACTAATTCTTCTGGATTTTGCAGCTGTTCGGTAGTGAAATTCCAAAGTACTGGAGGGGCCCACTGACCTAGATACTTGCCCATACTATCCCACACACCCTGCCACTCATGACTGTCCAGCATCGGGGAAAATCTCTAGGTCTTCCTGCATCGTCGTTTGACCCCAGACAAGACCCAAACCTGACTCTGCTTAACTCTTGAAATCAGTCGTGGGCAAAACACACTCTGTATGCGTGATTCCCATCACGATCAGCAAACAAGTCTCAACAGCATTAAAAGGCCATTCAAAAAATTCAAAACTCTCAAATGTAAATGGTCTGGGGGGAGGACTGGGAAGGTAAAAGGATGTCTCTTTCACAGGTTGAGCACCTGAGAAGGAGAAAAAAGATGTGTAATTGCTAAGCACTTCTATTATCTACCTCCCAAAGTATAAAGGTGGTGACCACACTGGGAACATAAGCCAGATCAGTTTCATGATCAATGATTCTATTGTATTACAAGTCATTACCATAAAGTATAATGAGACAAAAACCTTAGCCCAAGCCCCACACTTGAAAAACACTAATACAGCAAATACCAGATGGAAGTAAGATACGATATACTGAAACTGTGAGGTCAAGAGGAAAAACCTTGAGAGCCAATAAATCAGCATTGTGACGAGTGACTATTAATATGGACAGATCTGTTCTTTTCTCAACCCCTCGTGTCCCACGTTGGGCACCAAAAGAACTTGTCGTGGTTTAAACCCTAGCCAGACAGCTTGTTCACTCACTCCCAGTGAGTGGTGCTCAGCTGAGAGCAATAGAGGCCCCCCCCCACCCCGGGTCTCTCCCGTTCCCTGCTTCCAGAGGAACGGGGAGGAGGATCGAAAGAGTGCTACTCCCATGGGTTGAGACAAGAACAGTCCAGCAACCAATGTACAACACAAATCACCACCGCTACTACCAATGACAACAATGATAAGAGAAAATAACAAGGGAAGAGAATACGATACCACCGGCCAAGAAACGAGTCCCACCTGGAAGCCCCTGTCCTTCCGGGTAACTCCCAGTTACCCCGCACCCCGGGCATGACGTGCTGTGGTATGGAATACCTCTTTGGCTAGCCTGGGTCAGGCACCCTGTCTCTGCTTCCTCCCGGCTTCCCCTCCTCCCTGGCAGAGCATGAGCCTCACAAAGTCCTTGGTCAGGGTAAACATCACTTAGCAACAACCGAAAACATCGGTATCACCAGCACTGTTCCCAGGCTGGAAGTCAAAACACAGCATTGCACCAGCTACCACGAAGGAGAAACATGACTGCTACTGCTGAACCCAGGACAGAAGAGCATCGAAGGGTATTACATTTGCTATCCACTTATTTATTGTTATTTTTCTAAATTAACAATAATGCTTTTGGTTAATGATAATAATTTTTTCATTAGTATATCTTTATTCCTATCCTTTAAGACACATCTTAAAAAATACAGAATTTGAAAATAAATCTCAAAAAGTTTTCTCATCATAACCTGATTTTTCAGCAATGACTTTTCATGGCAGATGTTTATCTAAGAAATGCTGTTTGTTCCAAAACCCTTCCATACCTTCCCCATGTTACCTATTCTCATGCTTATTCTTACTACTGTTAAAACATTTTTACTAATGTCCTGAGATAAGTTTCACTTGATGCAATTTAAACCCATGACTTGCTGTCCACTGATTGTACCTGGGTTTTCATATGTGCTCTCCTGCTAGTTGAGATTTTGCCAGCGCTGAGATGGCACAAAGATTTATTCAGCTGTACAGGCTGTTTTCCACAGCAGCATGATTCTGTTAATTCACATTCATCTTGCTGTCCCAATATAGTCCCTTATCCCTTGTTGCAGAAATGTTCCTTAAACTGACATTTCTCTAGCATAGGTTCATGAAATTCATTACTTCTATAAAGAATCCTGCCTTTATGCCTTTTATTTGCCTTTTCTTTTTTAAAATATGTGCACTCACAAATTTTGTGGATTTACTCAAATATTGCACTTGTAAGAAATGGGTATGGGGATGTTTATAGGGACATAATGCATGTGTGGATTCAGGAGAGTGATCGGTAACTGGCAATATTGCAAAAGATGCTTGTTTTAGCTCTTTCAAAGAAGAGGTAGCGTAATAATCTCATTTTGCAACCAGATTTACAAAGTAATGCTTTCATAAATGATCTTCAGTCTCTCTCTTGTTAATTCACATTGTGGCTATTGCAGCTTCCCAGATCAGATTTGATCAGGTGTTTTATGTTTCGTCTTAATGTTTTCAGAAGGGGAAATGGCTTTGGTCTCTTCATTCCTCTCCTGTATTTCCAGGTCTGTTCATGGGAATTTCTGTTGAACAGAAACATGTAACACCGATTCCTAAACATTGTGTCAAGCAGTTTATACACCAAGTAGTTTCTCATCATCAGTCAGCATAGTCTATATAAGATCCAATGGGAATGTAATGTTGGGGAGCATCTTATGACAATAAGGTGAATTTAAATCTCTGAAATAGGTCACTACAGTTTGGCTACCCTGGGTGAGCTTTCCATGTCAGAGCCAGATCATATTTTCAGCACAATATTTTCAGAGAATCTCATGAACACTACTGCAACTTTGTAGTGTCAAGGAGGCCTTCCTAGCTGTAAATGAAGAACATAATGTCCATGTCCAAACTATTATTCTTTCTAATATAATATGTTTGTATTTTTCTTTTAGGTAGAGAGGATTGTAGACAAAAGGAAGAACAAGAAGGGCAAATGGGAGTATCTCATCAGGTGGAAAGGCTACGGAAGCAATGAAGACACCTGGGAACCTGAACATCATCTACTACATTGTGAGGAATTTATTGATGAGTTCAATGTACTACATGTTACTAGAGAAAAGCGATCAAGACATGGGAAACAGGGCAGCACTCAAAAATTTTTAGAGGAAAGCCGAGGGTCATCTCTTGAGAAAATATCACATAGACCTTCTGAAACTGGGAAGTCTAAAGGGTCAACACACAAAAGGAAGAGTATTAATCCATCTCTTCAAAAACAGAAAAGAGGATACACAGCAAAGCCAGCATCTGCTAATGCCAGGGCTGCTAAAACTGTGACTTACCGAACTACTCCCAGTGGTTTACAGATTATGCCACTGAAAAAGCCACATAATGGTCTGCAGAATGGAGATGGCAGTCATGAAAAGGATTCTAGATATTTTGGGAATGTCTCACAACAGCAAAATGTGGATTTAAATGATCATGAAGGAGAACAAAATTTGCCCAGCATGTTGGAAGTTAGTAACAATTCACCTGTTGTGAATGGAATTGGTATGTGATTTAAACTACAGTCTTGGGGTGGGGGAGTGTTAATTGCAACAACTGCAAATAGAGAGCCCACTCATGGAAAAATCATTGTCATGATACACAAGTGGTATGGTGAGAAGCACATAAATAAGTTTCACATCCTTTCCCCATATATTACACCATTTTATATCGGTTGGCTTCTCTCCTTCCATTTCTCATAGAGTTACATGAAGCAGCATGGGCTTTGTTCCATGCCTTTGCAGTAGAAAGTCCTTGTGGGGAAACGATGACGAGGCACAGAGTAGGAATGATGACTGAGGAATGTATAAAACTGCAACCTGATTTTGTGTATTGCCAGGTAATAAATCACTGTCCTGGGTTCAGCAGTAGCTGTCATGTTTCTCCTTCTTGGTAGCTGGTGCAGTGCAGTGTTTTGACTTTCGGCCTGGGAACAGAGCTGACAGTGATGTTTTGGTTCGGCCAAGGACTTTGTGAGCCTCATGCTCTGCCAGGGAGGAGGGGAAGCCAGGAGGAAGCAGAGACAGGACACCTGACCCAAACTGACCAAAGAGGTATTCCATACCACAGCACATCATGCCCAGGATGTAACTGGGAGTTAGCCGGAAGGGCTGGGAGACTTCAGGGTTGGAGGAGGTATCGGTTGGAGCTTGGTCGGGCTTGGGGGGCGAGTTATTGGTCAGCTGGTGCTGAGGTGTTGTATTCTCTTCCCTTGTTATTTCCTTTTATTATCATTGGTGGTAGCAGTAGTGATCTGTGTTATACCTTAGTTACTAAACTGTTCTTATCTCAACCCATGGGAGTTGCATTCTTTTCGATTCTCCTCTCCGTCCCTCTGGGAGTAGGGGGAGGGAAAGAAAGGGGGAAGTGAGCGAATGAATTACCTGACTGGGTTTAAACTACGACAATCACTTCTCAGTTATGTGTGCTCAGACACAATGGTCTCCAAAGATCAGGATTATTTTAAAAACAGAATTAATACCACTCTGGCTAAAGTATCTGGGTAAATATGGATGAGTAACATTCAAGTTCCTCAGTATTAATGCTTGTCATATTCAAGAGTACTCAGAACTGCCAGGAGGTCCTTGTCTCTTACAGTGACTGGATATATGTCACAAGACATACTTTGCAGGAAGGTACAAAAAGACCTGAAGTGAATGAGAAGAAATAGGAGAAATTTCTTTCTAATCCTCATGGTTGCTGATTGTCTTAGTTCTCAAGGAATAAAGGTTTATGTTCTGTATAAATATTATTCATCTTAATGCAACTGAGTAGCTTCTCATTATCTATGTGTCCAATGTTTATTTTTTTTTTTAATCCTACCAAATTTAAAGCTCCCAGAAGTTAACACAATGAAACGCACATTTAATTTGATCAGGTTTTTGGGTTTGGGGGTTTGTTTGGGTTTTTTTGACCTTTGCTTTCATTGCATAAGCTCTTGTCCTAGAAAAAGGGGTAAAGTGGAAGATGACCTGTCAGTCAGTAGGCAGCTCCGGCCTTTTTAGCCTACTGACCATGTGGAGGTCTTTCCAGGTTCCTGGTACTTTTCAGTATCCTTTTGTGCCTTTGGTGCATGGAGGGTTTTTTAATAACTTTTAAAAACAGCAGGAGCTGTTACAAATTATTTCCTACTGCTTAATGACACAGTGGCAATTAGACCTTTTGAGAATTATTTTTCTGCTTTTGCACACTGCATAAAAGTTTTCATTGAGGGATACACAGTTGCTCTGAAGTTTTTTCCCTTGCTGGTTACATTTAATTTAGAACACAGCTGTATGTATGATTCTTTTCATTATGCATTTAATCTGCTTTACTGTTACCAATTCACCTTTTTCACAGAATCAAAGAATAGTTAGGGTTGGAAAGGACCTTAAGATCATCTAGTTCCAACCCCCCTGCCATGGGCAGGGACACCTCACACTAAACCATGTCACCCAAGGATCTGTCCAACCTGGCCTTGAACACCACCAGGGATGGAGCATTCACAGCTTCCCTGGGCAATCCATTCCAGTGCCTCACCACCCTTACAGTAAAGAACTTCTTCCTTCTAACCAGTCTAAACTTCCCCTGTTTAAGTTTTAACCCGTTACCCCTTGTCCTATCACTACAGTTGCTACAGTTTCTCAATCCCACTGTCCATGTCACCGACAAAGATGCTGAACGAGATCGATCCCAACACCGATCCCCGAGGGACACCACTTGCTACTGGTCTCCAATTGGACATTGAGCTACTGGCCACAATTTTTTGTGTGCAGCCATCCAGCCATTACTTTATCCACCAAGTGATCCATCCATCAAATTGATGGTGTCTCTCCAGTTTAGAAACAAGGATGTCATGCAGGACAGTGTTGAACGCTTTGAACAAGTCCAGGTAGATGACATAAACTGCTTTGCCTCTGTCCATCAGTTCCGTAGCCCCATCATAGAAGCCCACCAAATCGGTCAGGCAGGATTTCCCTTCAGTGAAACCATGTTGGCTGTCACCAACCACCTTGTTTTTCATGTGCCTTAGCATGGCAGGATCTACTCCCAGATTTTGCCAGGCACAGAGGTGAGACTGACTGGTCTGTAATTCCCTGGGTCTTCTATTTTTCCCTTCTTGAAAATGGGGGTTATATTTCTCTTTTTCCAGTTGTCAGGAACTTCACCTGACTGCCATGATTTTTCAAATATGATGGACAGTGGCTTAGCAACTTCATTTGCCAGCTCCTTCAGGACCCATGGGTGGATTTTATCAGGTCCCATGGACTTGTGCACATTCAAGTTGGTAGGATGATCTCACACCTGATCCTGTCCTATAGTGGGCCTAAGGTCTTCATTCTCACAGTCCCTGCGTCTGCCTTCCAGGACTTGGGTGGTGTGATCAGAGCATTTGCCAGTGAAGACTGAGGCAAAGAAGTCATTAAGAACCTCAGTCTTCTCCAAATCCAGAGTAGACAGTTCTCCTGATAGCTTCCAGAGAGGGCCCACGTTGTCCCTAGTCTGTCTTTTATTTGCAATGTAATTATAGAATCCTTTCCTGTTATCCTTCACATCCCTAGCCAAGTTTAATTATAACTGGATTTCTTATGACTCAGTGAAGTTCTTCAAAATCTTTCCTAGTTTTCATAGAATCATAGAATCATAGAATAGTTAGGGTTGCAAAGGACCTTAAGATCATCTAGGTCCAAACCCCCTGCCATGGGCAGGGATACCTCACACTAAACCATATCACCCAAGAACACTCTACTTATTTTGTATTCTCTTCAAATTTTCCTCTCACATATCTCTTCCCAATTCATTAATATGTACATTAAATAAACTAATCCTTCTGCAGGTTCTTGGGGCAGCCAACTACTAATCATTTGACATGATGAAAATTAAGCATTTGTTCCAATTATTTATTTCTATTAGCCACTTTCTATACCCTATGATAGCACTCATTTCCTTAACAGCTTCTTGTGAATTGCCCTGCCAAAAACTTTTCAAAAGTCAACATAAATTATATTACCCTACTTTCCATTTTCCACCCTACTGGCAACCTAGCAAATGCTACTTGACTTGGGAAGTAGAACTGGCCTTGCCTAGTCTTACTGGTTACATCCTGTAACTACTGGCATCTTTAAATCCAGACACCAAATATCTTGTTAAAGAATCCCAAACAAGCAAAATGCGTGGTCAACTTTAAATGCATAAGTAGTCCTGATGATGTCTATGACACTAGGAGTTGCATATCTAATTATAGATGTGTATAAGTTTATTTTTCTTTGCTTTCCTATTGTTTCTAATGAAGATATTTTTAATCATGTTTTGTGTTATTCAATGTGGAAGTTCTGATACAAAATGCATCATTAAAATGCATTAACTGCCATATTTTAGAACCTTGTTGTTGTTGTTGTAATGAAGGACTAGAGGGCCACAAAGAACTGTAAGGTCAAATGAGCCTTTCATTTACAATCATAGAATCATAGAATAGTTAGGGTTGGAAAGGACCTTAAGATCATCTAGCTCCAACGCCCCTGCCATGGGCAGGGACACCTCCCACTAAACCATGTCACCCAAGGCTTTGTCCAACCTGGCCTTGAACACTGCCAGGGATGGAGCATTCACAACTTCCTTGGGCAACCCCTTCCAGTACCTCACCACCCTTACAGCAAAGAACTTCCTCCTTATATCCAATCTAAACTTTCCCTGTTTAAGTTCGAACCCATTACCCCTTGTGGGGGTGGATAGATTGGATAAATCGTTTCTCAACCGTTTGAACTCCTGGGACAGTTTTTCCACAGCTGAGATGATGGAAGGGGTGAGACTGTCTTCGAACTCTCGGAGTTTATGAATCATTTCATCCACTGTTGGTGGTATTATGTCATTCCAGGTTACTGTTGCCAGTGAGTGGGCATATGATGATGGTGCATTCCGTGTAAATTTCCGCCACATTGGTCATGTACATTCGACTTCATCTGGATCTATGGGTGCATTCCTGGCATCTGGCTTACAATAGATCATCTCTACAATGGCTGATTCCCTCAGAGACTGGATGCCTTTCTCTAGAGTAGTCCACTTGGCCGAACAACTCATAACATCGTCCTTGTACAGAAACCTTTCTTTCACAACTGCCAAGAGCCGCCTCCAAAGGCTGAGGGATGGTTTCTCTTTTGCAATTGCTTTGTCAATTCCCCCTTCCCTAGCAAGTGATCCCAGCTGCTTGCCTTCCCTACCTTCTAGTTTGTGATCGTAGGCCCCATTGTCCCAGCATCGGAGCAACCAGGTGATGATGTGCTCCCCTGGATGATGAGTAAAATCTTTTTGTATATTCCATAGCTTGTTTAAGGTCCGAGGTAGAGAAGTCACCTCTTCTTCTTCTTCTTCCTCTGATTCATGTAGTAATAACTCCTGATCAGATGCTGTCCCGTGTAGTAAGTGCATTGGTTCTTCATCCTTCACTGTACGAGTTGCTTTTTTTGCCTCTTGTTTGCTTTTCCCCTTGCGTATAGGAGCAAACGATATTGGAACAAATTGGTCCTCTG